GAAATATATTTATGTTTGTGGTTGTAATGTGACAAAATATGGAAAAGTTCAAGGGGTATGAATACTTTTGCAAACCACTGTATATGCATACATTTAGCTTTCGACGTTTATTTGTTTATTTAATAGAATCCCCATGATTTCTAGGTTGATCCAACTTGGGCATGACTTTAACATTTTCAAAAATACTTTCAAAACGAATACTGATAAACATGAGAACAAGTTCATTTAAAAAAAGGACTATAGTACTTTCTGATTTAACTTTTACTTTATTGCTAAGTTAATGAAAAGAAACGTTCAGGTTGTCTAGGGCCAAACTTTTTTTTTTTTAAGATTTCTTCCAAACAAAACTTGAGGTTGCAATTGAGGAAATGTCGATCTCCAAGTGCTCTGGTGCCTCAGCTGCTATCAATAAAATTAAGTTAGGATATCAAGTGTAGTCATAAGTAGTGGTGGGCAACTATGCTAGCCTTTTTACAAGTTCTCATACTCATACAAAATGACCCATTCCTCTGAACTAATACTAATACCAGTATTAATACTCATATTGAGACTCCATTCAATGTGTTACAGTTTACATTTCAAGTTTGATGCTGGTGAAAACCTTGGTCACATCCTAAAGTTGAAAGAAAATCTTGTTTTTATTTATTTTAATATTTTGCAACATTATATACAGTATATCACGCTGTATATTTGATCTGATTCAGTCAGAGGGGCTGTAGTCCGATAAGGAAGGACACACCTTGTATACCGTGTAGGTTCTAACTCAGTAAGTAATCTGTATCGGTACTCGGAATTAGCGAGTATCCAAACTGAAGTACTCATACCATGGGAGTTATATAGAACAGCTGGAGTGCGCAGAAACCACGTGACTGAGTGGTCTACTGTAGAGGCTACGGGGCTGAGCATAACGGGCAAGAGTGTGGATTTACCATTACTGCACATGTTGGCAACAGCAAAATAAAAGGACTGGCGATTTTATATAATCTGTTTTAAATAATGATCTTAATAATAATGATCTTATTTAGCTCAATGTGATCTGAGCAGAACTGAAGCTAATAATATAACAATTTAAAATTAAAATAATCTTATAAAGTCGATGTAATCACTGTTGTTTATTGAACTGATTAGCAGATATTAGCTTGTGTAGCACATATTCTTATACAGAATGTACCATATTTATTCGTGTATAATACAATCTCATGTATAATACGACCCCGCCTCCTTTTTGAGCTTAAAAAGCATTAAAAAATTTATTCCTCAAACTGCCTCCTATTTCATACAGACGTCAAGATTTTTCAGACTTTGCCGTCTTCATACATATCAATAAAATGATCATTGGACTGTTCATTTTATTTTAACAACATATGTACTAAAAGGTATTTTGACAACAAATATACACTCACCGGCCACTTTATTAGGTACACCTGTCCAACTGCTCGTTAACACTTAATTTCTAATCAGCCAATCACGTGGCGGCAACTAAGTGCATTTAGGCATGTAGACATGGTCAAGACAATCTCCTGCAGTTCAAAC